TTATGAACTCTTGAAACAGTCCAAACATGACAATTCAATTCACACAGTAACATTCATTTTGTCGATTCAATTTTCATCAGTCTTCACACCTCTCCTGGAGTTAGTGACCCCAGGACTTCTGTGGGAACGTCTCTTCCTCGAGATTGCCACAGATAAGGTGTGTTTGATACTTGTAATAGCCCACAGATGGTCAGCCATCCAAACAATGTCATAAATCATGATTGACTCATCACACTGGGACTAGGCGCCAGCAAGTCACTAGATGCATCTTCATCACTGGCCTTCATCATCATTCACATTTGTTCACTCTCTATTTTCGACTACATTTTCGATGGTGACCAGCCTTCATTGTTTTTTCGCAGGTTACCAGCTTTCATTGTGTTTTTGGACACTGGTGACCAGCGTCAAGTCACATTATGCTGGCTTGCAAAGTGATGTCTAATTCCAATTGGAATCTAGACTGAGTGGGGATATCAAACAACTGGAACTTTTGTTCACCAACAATCTGCATTCAGGATGACTGCCAGGGTTAGTAAAATGAATCAATGAGACTACCTACACCATCTAAACTGGAACAACTATACTGAACAAAAATATAAACGCAACATCTAAAGTGTTGGTCCCATGTTTCATGAGCTGAAATAAAAGATCTCAGAAATGTTTTATACGCACAAAAAGCTTATTTAAAAAAAAAATGTTTGCACAAATTTGTTTACATCCCTGTTAGTGAACATTTCTCCATTGCCAAGATAATACATCCACCTGGCAGGTGTGGCATATCAAGAAGCTGATTAAACAGCATTATCATTACACATGTGCTGGGGACAATACAAGGCCACTCTAAAATGTGCAGTTTTGTCACACAACCCAATGCCACAGATTTGAGGGAGCATGCAATTGGCATGCTGACTGCATGAATGTCCACCCGAGCTGTTGCCAGATAATTTAATGTTAATTTCTCTACCATAAGCTGTTTTAGAGAATTTGGTAGTACGACCAACCGGTCTCACAACTGCAGACCACGTGTAACCACGCCATCCCAGGACCTCTACATACTTCACCTGTGGGATCATCTGAGACCATCCACCCGGACAGCTGATGAAACTGAGGAGTATTTCTGTCTGTAATAAAGCCCCTTTGTGGAGAAAAACTAATTCTGATTGGCTGGGCCTGGCTCCCCAGTGGGTGTGCCTATTCCCTCCCAGGCCCACCCATGGCTGTGCCCCTGCCAAGTCATGTGAAATCCATAGATTAGGGCCTAATGAATTTATTTCAATTGACTGATTTCCTTATATGAACTGTAACTCAGTGAAATCGTGACTCAGAAAAATGCATGTTATTTATCTTTTAAATTGAAACAAACAAATCTAGAAATTGAACTGTAATAAACTCGAACTCCATGCTAGGAAATACACGAAATGACCAAAAGTATGTGGACACCTGCTCGTTGAACATCTCATTCCAAAATCATAGGTATTAATATGGATTTGGTCCCCCCTTTGCTGCTATAACAGCCTCCACTCTTCTGGGAAGGCTTTCCACTAGATGTTGGAACATTGCTGTGGGGATTTGCTTCCATTCAGCCACAAGAGCATTAGTTAGGTCGAGCACTGATGTTGGACGATTAGACCTGGCCTGCAGTCAGCGTTCAAATTAATCCCAAAGGTGTTCGATGGGTTGAGGTCAGGGCTCTGTGCAGGCCAGTCAAGTTATTCCACACCGATCTCGACAAACCATTTCTGTATGGACCTCGCTTTGTGTACAGGGGCATTGTCATGCTGGAACAGGAAAGGGCCTTCCCCAAACTGTTGCCACATAATCGTCTAGATTGGAAGCACAGAATCATGTAGTCAATCACCCACCATTGCACCAAATAGTGGGTTGGACCTCACTTTATATGCGCAGAAAGTAGTTTTTATCTACAAAGCCATGGAAACCCATTTCATTGCTTTTCATTTCTCCAGATGAACACTTCTTGTAGTGTACGGCCATGTAGTGTAGTGCACAGAACACACGTTGGGTTATTTTGACCTAGCCCAGTACCCTGCCCTGAACTTTAGTGACTGTCACTGGCCGGCTACCACCCGGTACTCAACCCTGCACCTTAGAGACTGCTGCCCTATGTACATAGTCATAGAACACTTGTTACTTTAATCATGTTTGCATACTGTGTTACCCACTTCATATGAATATACTGTATTATAGTCAAGGCCTATCCTATTGAACTATTGCTGTACATATATTATTCTGTTCTACAGATACACTACCGTTCAAAAGTTTGGGGTCACTTAGAAATGTCCTTGTTTTTGAAAGAAAAGCAATTTTTTGTCCATTAAAATAACATCAAATTGATCAGAAATACAGTGTAGACATTGTTAATGTTGTAAATGGCTATTGTAGCTAGAGATAAAATGAAGTGCGCTGTGGTAAACTGGATCTAATGGCTTTAATGAAGTGGCAGCTGGGTCGTTGCACAAATAGAGTTCCTTTTGCGTCCCTTTGATATATTAAAGGCCCCCACCTGAGGGAAATGCCTCCCCTATTTGGACCTAATTCCTGTTCTAGACTGGAAATTCTCGTTTTAGGTTCCACCTCCGAAGAATGACGCAGGCCATTAATAAATTTTTCACGAATTGGGGGTGGGAACTTTGTGGTGATTTCCATGTGTAGTGAAGAAATAGCAACAAGTAGGGCACTGACAGCTTTCAGTGTAGCTAGCTAGCTAATGTTATCTGTTGTTGCTGTGTCTTTAACTACACCGTATTCAAAATATTAGCCAGCTGGCTAGGCTATGGCTGGTTCTGATTATGCTTTTGTCATAAGCATTTAGGGAAAACTTAACCACAGATGTATAGGGGAAACCACTATCTTTGACTTCACATCTATTGTTATCTCCAAAGTTTTGGCATCTTCCATAAATTGCGGCTGCGAATCTGCCATAGAAATAGAAAGAATAAGATGAATTTGTCAGACTCCAGCTACCTAAGTCTGTTCTCTCTGCTAACGCACGGCAAGCGGTACTGGAGCGCCAAGTCTGGGACCAAAAGGCTCCTGAACAGCTTCTACCCCAAAGCCATAAGACTGCTGAACAGTTAATTAAACGGCTACCCAGACTTTCTGCTTTTCACCCCCTACCTACATGTACATAGTACTTCAATCAATCATCTAACCAAACATACATGTACATATTACCTCAATCAATCACCCCAACTACCTCGTACCCCAGTACACTGACTCAGTACCGGTACTCCTTGCCTGTATATAGCCTCGTTATTGTTATTTTATTGTGTTACTATTTTCTTTTTATCTATTTGTTAATTTACTTACTTTTTAACTGCATTGTTGGGGAAAAGTAAACATTTCACAGTAAAGTCTACACTTGTTGTATTCGGCGCATGTGACAAATCAAATTTGATTTGATTTGAAGCTCCAGCAATATGGATAGCCTAACTATTGAACAGTTTGAACTAGAGACACGTTTTTCTACATTTTAATGGACACGTTGCAACCTTGGTGCCACCACGTCCAATTTTTTACACTTGCTACGTTATGCTAGACACAGTGCAACTTCTGGTAGGCTACTGGCAGGCTGTTCGGCTGCGCTACAGCAATGCCAAGTCAGCCTGTGCTCATTCCATGGTTCTCACAGTTAAGGAAAGTCAAATGATAGGCTACAATGACTTTGCTCATGATGCACGCTGCATATGATATGTACTGTAACAACACTCTGAGCACATCGGACGCGAATCATGCCTCTCCCTGAACATTAGAAAGCAGATCTTTAGTTAACTTTCCTGCCAGTGTTAGACTATGGTGACACCATTTATTGAATTCAGCTGACAATACGAGTGGCGTAGTGGTCTAAGGCGCTGCATCGCAGTGCTAGCTGTGCCACTAGAGATCCTGGTTCGAATCCAGGCTCTGTCGTAGCCGACCGTGAGACCCATGGGGCGGCGCACAATTGGTCCAGGGTAGGGGAGGGAATGGCCTGCAGGGATGTAGCTCAGTTGGTAGAGCATGGCATTTGCAATGCTGGGGTTGTGGGTTCGATTCCCACGGGGGGCCAGTATAAAAAGAATAATGTATGCACGCACTAACTGTAAGTCGCTCTGGATAACATCGTCTGCTAAATGACTAAAACAAATTATTATGGGTGACAGGTTCAGTACACATCATTGCATCCTATATCAGAAAGTAGGCTGGCCATCTTTTAAGTCTCGTAGATCGATACACTACTATAGGTTTGTTTATAAAGCCCTCTTGCACAAACTTCCGCTGTACCTTACTTACACTAAGACATATGAGTCACCAAACCCGATCACAGGGATGGCTAGCTCTAGAGGTCCCGTTGATCTCTACAGAATTAGGTAAATCGGCATTTGTGCCCTGTGTATGGAATGATCTGCAGAGCTCTCTGCACCTTGATGCTCTGTTACCTCTAGGGCAGTTCAAGTTGTTGATGAAAGACCTTGTTGAAGAATATGATGGCTTTAGATTAGCAATTGGATTAACAAATGGATTCAATATGGTCGAATGAACTAGCGGGGCAGATGCCAGTCAACGGCCGCTCCCCTGTCTCATCCCAATGTGGATTCATGTGTATCGTAGATTCATTCTCTAACGCTTCATTTTTAGAAAGCCCAGAGAATTCAGAGAAAGTCCAGAGACCATGGTCTCATTCCCAAGGGTGCCCTGATCACAACAATATAACAACCAATACAAAACACAAAAAAACAAAACAGCAACCAATACAAAACACAAAATGTATGAAAACTGCTACAGTCCTCAGCTACTAGGTCCTCAATTAACACACTAAACTGCCTGAGCGTCTTTTTTTTTTTTTAAAGCATACAGCATATGTCTCCAGTATGATAATGTCTAAGGACCATTTCAGTCTAGTGAAATGTCATTGTATGTGTTCATAAAACATTACAAGGGCTCATAACAATTGAAAATGCTTTTAAACTGACAAGGGTTTTAGTTTGCTGCTTAGAAATTGAATGGCTATTCTCCCATCGTTCCTCCAGGTCCAATATGCCAGCGGTGCCGACAGTGTGGTCCAGTTAATATTTTACGAGCCAATCATCCATCGTTGGAGGGAAACTGACTTCTTCCCATGTTCTGTGACCTGCGGTGGAGGTAATGGGCAACTCCTTCCTCCTAACTACAGTTTATTTTGATGTTTCTCATTTTGATGTTTCTCATTTTATTTGTATCCTTTATTTTTTATCTATTTTTCAAGTGAGATACAGTAGGTTTGCCAAGCTCATCTAATGCTTTCTGGTCAACAGACATTTGTTGATACTTTTCTGCCCAGTCTCAAAAACCTAATAGTTTATCATTGAATAGGTGGATTAAATACTATAGCAATGGGCACATTTTGGCCTGACTGCATGCCTTTTGATTGGCTGTAGGATACCAGCTGACTTCAGTGGAGTGCTTTGACCTGCACAGCGGTCGTGTGGTTGTGGACCAGTACTGTCACCACTATCCTGAGAATGTCAAGCCCAAGCCCAAACTACAGGAGTGCAACATGGACCCCTGCCTTGCCAGGTCAGTCACCTAACTGACTGCATGCCTTTAATCTTACATATGCTAATGGGGCAGTGGGTCATCCATTCCTCCACAGTGGTGTGCTATTTTGGTTGTAGTAGTTTTTCTCTTAAAGGCCCATGCAGCCATTTTTATCTCAATATCAATTTATTTCTGGGAAACAATTAAGTACCTTACTGTGATTGTTTTCAATTAAAATGGTCATATAGCAAACAAAAGTTTCTTAGCAAAGAGCATTTCCTCAAGCAATAATTTTGCTAGGACCGTATGGAAGTGTTCTGAGTGAGGAGTGTAAAACTGAAAACTAGCTGTTATTGGCAGAGAGGTTTGGAACTCTCTTTCTTATTGGTCTATTAACTAATTAGGCCAAAACTCCATCTCACCAAAACAGGCAGACATTTCAGGCGGTCTTTTCAAACAGCTCTTACACTGAAAGGCCATTATCATAATCTTCACAATTGTACAGTATTATTCCAACTTCATAGTGTGGAAATATATACTGAGTATAAAAAACATTAAGAACAAGCTCTTTCCATGACATAGACTGACCAGGTGAATCCAGATGAAAGCTATGATCCCTTATTGATGTTTCTTGTTTAACCCACTTCAATCAGTGTAGATGAAGGGGAGGAGACAGGTTAAAGAAGGATTTTTAAGCCTTGACAGAATTGAGACATGGATTGTGTATGTGACATTCAGAGGGTGAATGGGCAAGACAATAGATTTAAGTGCCTTTGAACAGGGTATGGTAGTAGGTGCCAGGCGCACCGGTTTGTGTCAAGAACTGCAACACTGCTGGGTTTTCCATGCTCAAGAGTATCCCATGTGTATCAAGAATGGTCCACCACCGAAAGGACATCCAGCCAACTTGACACAACTGTGGGAAGCATTGGAGTCAACATGGGCCAGCATCCCTGTGGAATGTCCATGCCCCGACGAATTGAGGCTGTTCTGGGGGCAAAAGGAGGGGGGAGAGTGCAACTCAAACACAGGAAAATTACAGTTTCGGCTTACAGTACTGGGCTTTTAATTGGTTTTCTGTTTCGTTTCCTCTTCTTTTAGTGATGGCTATAAGCAAATCATGCCTTACGACCTCTACCATCCCCTGCCTCGGTATGTACAGCAAGTCAAATATGGATGGAGCTTTTACCCTGGAACTCTTTTTTGGTGTACAGTTGTATACTGTTGACAAATGGCACTGTGGCAGCGTTTAGTTATTCGCCCATACCCAGTCAAATGAATGTCAAATATTTAACTAGCTTGCACAGTACAATAGAGCCAATGGAATAGTCCCAGATAGGCAAACTCTTCCCACCCTGCATGTTGGTTAAGCTAAATCAAGCACACCTGATTAATTTGATTATTTATTTATTTCTTACATTTGAACCGGGTCTTTGTGCTGCCAGGTGGGAGAGTAGCCCATGGACTGCCTGTTCCACCTCCTGCAGTGGGGGGATCCAGAGCCGCTCTGTGTCCTGCGTGGAGGAGAACATTCAGGGCGTCATCACCCCTGCGGAGGAGTGGAAGTGCCTATACGCCCCCAAGATGGTCATCCTGCAGCCTTGTAACACCTTCAACTGCCCCACGTGGCTGGCACAGGAGTGGTCACCTGTAAGTCACACATTTAAGATTGTTCTACTCTAGTCTTTATGAAACTACTCCAATATGGTAGTGAAAATGTCTTAGCTTATTCGTTTTCATAGCGTATTGTAAAATATTCAGATGTTACCATTTCAACAATGTGAGAAATCTGCGGCATTTCAAGGCTCTTGTTTCAAGTCTATCTATGGCTGTCTGTGGTTAAAAGCCAGATTCCAGCCTGTAAGGTCTTGTCAGTCCGGCCTGAGTTTACCGAAGACCTCAAGCTGTTATCCAATAATGAACAGAGAGTACTTCCTCTAATTTACACAGTGTAAAATCTGCCTACAATGGCAACAACGCAAGCCTTAATTGCATGTCCGAGGGCACTGTGCTGTTAAACTACGGCTCAGGGTCTCTATGAAACATCAGAGGTTGAACCACTCAGTTTTTGAATCAAAAAATGAAATGTCCTTGGCCCAAAAAACATATTTTTTCCCCCTTCTTCTCGCCTTTACCACCTGACCCTGTAATCACGCCTCAGTGAGCAGCTCATTAGTCTCTGATTGGCTCCAGCGCCGCTGAGCTAATGACATGTTAATTAGCCAAGGTGAAAAAAATCTCATGATTAATCTTCTTGGGGGTCAGGCTCAGGCAATGTGAAAAAAGTTAGCCAGACATTTCAACATGTTATCTGCCCTCCCCTTCATACCACAAGCGGCGTTCTCGCCATAGCAGGAACACTTGTGACTTCTAATGTAAACCCATGTTAAAACTTAACTCTCCCATGTAAATACCGGTACAAAACCTCCCCCTCCCCTCCCTTTTAAAAACACATCGCTTTAATTAAAAGTGCAAAGTCAGCAGTGCTTGAGAGTCCTCATCTTCCCTTGCACCCCACACACACAGGTTATCCAGCCGCTGTAGTTGGATCGCCGCCTGGGGAGATAACTGGCTACGTCACTGGACAGGAGTGTTGGACAATTCACAATTAACTGCGTGATGTGGCACTACCATTGACCAATCACAAATCCAGTAGAGGTCCCCTGTGACTTTTAATTTCATGGGGAAATTAACCTCCCCTCTCCGGCAAGCACAAAGGAAGACCAGGGGAGCCAGATTTGTTCATCTTAAGATACAGTGGGCAGAACAAGTATTTGATACACTGCCGATTTTGCAGGTTTTCCTACTTACAAAGCATGTAGAGGTCTGTAATTTTTATCATAGGTACACTTCAACTGTGAGAGACGGAATCTAAAACAAAAATCCAGAAAATCACATTGTATGATTTTTAAGTACTTCATTTGCATTTTATTGCATGACATAAGTATTTGATCACCTACCAACCAGTAAGAATTCCGGCTCTCACAGACCTGTTAGTTTTTCTTAAGAAGCCCTCCTGTTCTCCACTCACTACCTGTATTAACTGCACCTGTTTGAACTCGTTACCTCTATAAAAGACACCTGTCCACACACTCAATCAAACAGACTCCAACCTCTCCACAATGGCCAAGACCAGAGAGCTGTGTAAGGACATCAGGGATACAATTGTAGACCTGCACAAGGCTGGGATGGGCTACAGGAAAATAGGCAAGCAGCTTGGTGAGAAGGCAACAACTGTTGCCGCAATTATTAGAAAATGGAAGAAGTTCAAGATGACGGTCAATCACTCTCGGTCTGGGGCTCCATGCAATATCTCACCTCGTAGGGCATCAATGATCATGAGGAAGGTGAGGGATCAGCCCAGAACTACACGGCAGGACCTGGTCAATGACCTGAAGAGAGCTGGGACCACAGTCTCAAAGAAAACCATTAGTAACACACTACGCCGTCATTGATTAAAATCCTGCAACGCACGCAAGGTCCCCCTGCTCAAGCCAGCGCATGTCCAGGCCCGTCTGAAGTTTGCCAATGACCATCTGGATGATCCAGAGGAGGAATGGGAGAAGGTCATGTGGTCTGATGAGACAAAAATATAGCTTTTTGGTCTAAACTCCACTCGCCGTGTTTGGAGGAAGAAGAAGGATGGAACCGTGAAGCATGGAGGTGGAAACATCATTCTTTGGGGATACTTTTCTGCAAAGGGGACAGGACGACTGCACCGTATTGAGGGGAGGATGGATGGGGCCATGTATCGCGAGATCTTGGCCAACAACCTCCTTCTCTCAGTAAGAGCATTGAAGATGGGTCGTGGCTGAGTCTTCCAGCATGACAACGACCCGAAACACACAGCCAGGGCAACTAAGGAGTGGCTCCGTAAGAAGCATCTCAAGGTCCTGGAGTGGCCTAGCCAGTCTCCAGACCTGAACCCAATAGAAAATCTTTGGAGGGAGCTGAATGTCCGTATTGCACAGCGACAGCCACGAAACCTGAAGGATCTGGAGAAGGTCTGTATGGAGGAGTGGGCCAAAATCCCTGCTGCAGTGTGTGCAAACCTGGTCAAGACCTACAGGAAACGTATGATCTCTGTAATTGCAAACAAAGGTTTCTGTACCAAATATTAAGTTCTGCTTTTCTGATGTATCTAATACTTATGTCATGCAATAAAATGCAAATGAATTACTTAAAAATCATACAATGTGATTTTCTGGATTTTTGTTTTAGATCCCGTCTCTCACAGTTGAAGTGTACCTATGATAAAAATTACAGACCTCTACATGCTTTGTAAGTAGGAAAACCTGCAAAATCGGCAGTGTATCAATTACTTGTTCTCCCCACTGTAGCTAGGTGGGACAACCACATATCACAGGCACAGAAAGTACATTTTTCCTTAATAACGTAGCTATTAGTAGAATTTGATAGAAAGCGCTTGAATATGGAAAGATTTCAATGGTTATGAATTATTGAAACAACAAACACAACTTGCTCTAAATAAATAACTTGCATGCATCTGTAAAACGGTCAAATTGGTAAAACAACAATGTTATTTTATGTCCTCTCCAGTGCACAGTGACTTGTGGTAAGGGCCTGCGCTACAGGGTAGTCCTGTGCATCGACTACAGGGGCCTACATGCTGGAGGCTGCAACCCGACTACCAAGCCACACATCAAGGAGGAGTGTTTGGCCACTGTACCCTGCTACAAGCCCATAGGTACACATTTCCCCCCCTTCCCCACCCTAAAGTGTCTACAATTGATTGTCTGACATAACATACCAAATGCCAAATATTAGGAACATCTTCCTGATATTGAGTTGCACCCCCCATACTCTACCAACTGAGCTACAGAGGACCACAATGACAGGATAATTGTCTAGCTCAATGAAGTTACTTTAAGATTATTTGGAGATGAAGTGTGAAAAATGCTGATATCAGGGATATTGACTTGCATTGTTTTTGGGAGACAGTGGCCAGGTAAACAAAATCAAAGCATGGATTTCTGTCCATAGACTGCTTACAGAGTACAGAAAACATTTGTAAAAAAAATTTTTTGGGGTGAACTATCGCTTTAAGTGCTGTGTCTACCACATTGTAGGCCAGTGGTCAGCATCCCTGGTCCTGGACCACTACAGTGCATACTTTGGTTGGTTCCACCCCAGCACTAACCCTTCTGATTCCTCTCATCAAGCTCTTGATCACTGATTATTAGTGGAATTGGGTATTTTGCTGCTGGGATGAAACAAACGCCTGGGTCTTAACATTGCTGTATGAACTCAGAAGACCCATTTTTACATGCGAATTGGTAACACTTTATAATAACGTACATTAATAAACCATTTATAAGGCATTTACAAACTGTTTGCTCAAAAGAAAATGTTTAATATATGACCTTAAAAACCATTTACTAATCATTAGTAAAGTATTTTTGCAGTCCCTAAAGTGAGGGCGGTTTATTCTTTATAAAGACCTCATAAATGTTTTGACTGGCCAGTGTAATTTCTCACAAAAACATTGGACATGCCATTGGTAGACATTCAAGGAGTACCTGATGCTCAAAATGACCTAGAACATATCAATGTTTTAAGAATAAGCACACAACACTCAGGATGTTTAAGGATAAAAAAAAAAAAAATGTTATTCCAAAACAGTCACACTGTTGTAGTAGTGTGATGTAGCGTATTTGTATTTATTAGGGATCCCCAAGGCAGCAGCTACTCTTCCTGGGGTCCAAACATATTAAAGCACTTACATTAGATATAAAACAAAAACAGTACATCATATGACATTATTTTTACCTGTTTTTTAAAAATCTAATTATACTGCTTGCATCAGTTCCTTGGGGACTTGGGGACTGTGAAGAGACCTCTGGTGGCATGTCTTGTTTGGTATGCATGGGTGTCCGAGCTGTGTGCTAGTATTTTAAACAGACAGCTTGGTACATTCAGCTTGTCAACCCCTCTTACAAAAACAAGTAGGGATGAAGTCAATCTCTCTTCCACTTTGAGCCATGAGAGATTTGCATTTGTATTTATTACGGATCCGCATTAGTGGCTGCCAAGGCAGCAGCAACTCTTCCTGGGGTCCAACCACAATTTACATACAATAAAACAATACATAACACAACACCTTATTACACACTACTCTACCATAACATATTTACAATACAAAATCAATAATACAGCAAAATAACAATATTAAAATGTGTGTGTGTAGAGTGCGTGTTTGCGAATGCTGTGGGTGTGCCTGTGTGTGTGTGTGTGTCTCTTCACAGTCCGCGCTGTTCCATGAAGTCTATTTTTATCTGTTTTTTAAATCTGATTTTACTGCTTGACTGAGTTACATGATGTGGAATAGAGTTCCATGTAGTCATGGCTCTATGTAGTGCTGTGCGTTTCCCGTAGTCTGTTCTGGACTTGGGGACTGTGAAGAGACCGCTGGTGGCATGTCTCGTGGGGTATGCATGGGTGTCCGAGCTGTGTGCCAGCATTGCAAACAGACAGCTCGGTACATTCAGCTTGTCTACACCTCTTACAAAAACAAGCAGTGACGAAGTCAATCTCTCTTCCACTCTAAGCCAGGAGAGACTAACATGCATGTCATTAATGTTAGCTATCCGTGTACTTTTAAGGGCCAGCCGTACTGCCCTGTTCTGAGCCAACTGCAATTTTCCCAAGTCCCTCTTTGTGGCACCTGACCACACTACTGAACAGTAGTCTAGGTGCGACAAAACGATGGCCTGTAGGACCTGCCTTGTTGATAGTGTTGTTGAGAAGGCAGAGCAGCACTTAATTATGGACATACTTCTCCCCATCTTAGCTACTGTTGTATCAATATGTTTTGACCATGACATTTTACAATCCAGGGTTACTCCAAGCAGTTTAGTCACCTCCACTTGCTCAATTTCCACATTATTCATTACGAGATGTAGTTGAGGTTTAGGGTTTAGCGAATGATTTGACCCAAATACAGTGCATTTCGTTTTGGAAATATTTAGGACTAACTTATTCCTTGCCACCCATTCCGAAACTAACAGTAACTCATTGTTAACTGTTGCAGTTATTTCAGTTGCTGTAGCAGCTGACGTGTATAGTGTTGAGTCATCCGCATACATAGACACACTGGCTTTACTCAAAGCATGTCGTTAGTAAAGATGGAAAAAAGTAACAGGTCTAAACAGCTGCCCTGGGTAATTCCTGATTCTACCTGGATTAAGTTTGAGAGGCTTCCATTAAAGAACACCCTCTGTGTTCTGTTAGACAGGTAACTCTTCATTCACATAATAGCAGGGCGTGTAAAGCCATAACACATTCATTTTCCCAGCAGCAGACTATGATCGATAATGTCAAAAGCCGCACTGAAGTCTAACAAAACAGCCCCCACAATCTTTTTATCATCAATTTCTCTCATCCAATCATCAGTCATTTGTGTAAGTGCTGTGCTTGTTGAATGTCCTTCTCTATAAGGATGCTGAAAGTTTGTTGTCAATTTGTTTACTGTAAAATAGCATTGTATCTGGTCAAACACCATTTTCCATTAGTTTACTAAGGGTTGGTGACAGGCTAATTGGTCGGCTATTTGAGCCATTAAAGAGGGCATTACTATTCTTAGGTAGCGGAATGACTTTTGCTTCCCTGCAATCCTTTGGGCACATACATTCTAGTAGGCTTAAATTGAAAATATGGCAAATAGGAGTGGCAGTATCTTCCGCTATTATTCTCAGTAATTTTTCATCCAAGTTGTCAGACCCCGGTGGCTTGTCATTGTTAATAGACAATAATAATTTGTTCACCTCTTCCACACTCACTTCACGGAATTCAAAATTACAATGCTTGTCTTTCATAATTTGGTGAGATATACTTGGATGTGTAGTGTCAGCAATTGTTTACTAGCATGTCATGCCTAAGTTTGCTAATCTTGCCAATGAAAAAACGATTTAAATAGTTGGCAATATCAGTTGTTTTTTTTGATGAATGAGCCATCTGATTCAATGAATGATGGAGCTGATTTAGTCTTTTTTCCCAACATTTAATTTAAGGTGCTCCAAAGCTTTTTATTAACATTCTTTATGTCATTTATCCTTGTTTCATAGTGTTGTTTTGTCTTCTTTTTATTCAGTTTAGTCACATGATTTCTCAATTTGCAATACGTTTGCAAATCGGTTGTGCAGCCAGACTTATTTTGCCTTTCCTTTTTCCTCATCTCTGTCAACCATACTATTTTTCAATTCCTCATCAATCCACAGGGGATTTAACTGTTTTTACAGTCATTGTCTTAATGGGTGCATGCTTATTAGTAACTGGAATAAGCAATTTAATAAATGTATCAAGTGCAGAGTCTGTTTGCTCCTCATTACACACCACGGACAAACATATATTCTTTACATTAACAACATAGGAATCACTACAAATCCTGTTGTATGACCTCTTATACACAATATTAGTCCCAGCCTTTGGAACTTTGGTTTTCCTAGATATGGCTACTATATTGTGATCACTACATCCATGGATTTCGACACTGATTTCAAACAAATCTCTGCAGCATTTGTAAAGGTAAAGAAAATATGTGATCAATACATGATGATTTCATTCCTGTGCTGTTTGTAACTACCCTGGTAGGTTCACTGATAACCTGAACCAGGTTGCAGGCACTGGTTACAGTTTGAAGCTTTCTCTTGAGTGGGCAGCCTGATGAAAGCCAGTCAATATTTAAATCACCCAGAAAGTATACCTCTCTATTGATATCACATACATTTCCAAGCATTTCACACATGTTATCCAGATACTGACTGTTAGCACTTGGTGGTCTATAGCAGCTTCCCACCAGAATTGGGTTTAGGTGAGGCAGATGAACCTGTAGCCATATTACTTCAACATTATTTAACATGAGATCCTCTCTAATCTTCACAGGAATGTGGTTCTGATTATAAACAGCAACACCTCCACCATTGGCATTTCTATCTTTGTTATAAATGTTATAACCTTGTATTGGTACTCTGTATCATCAAAGGTATTATCTAAGTGAGTTTCAGAGATAGTCAGAATATGAATGTCATCAGTTACCAGCAAATTACTGATTTCATGAACTTTGTTTCTTAAGCTACATATGTTAACGTGGGCTATTAACTTGAGCACTTTTCTTCTGGGATGCTTACTTGTTTTTATTGCTTTACTGGGAAGCTTAACAGCAGTAGATGTGGTCATGTTCTTTATGTTAGTGCAGGGTGAGGTGCAGACAGTGGCCTTCCTCTTTGGGCACACCGGCTCAGTGCTAACGGTATAAACCTGGTTCTTAAGCACATGATTACTGCATACAATAGCTGTAGAATCAGCAGAGGCATTCAGGGCAGTTAGAGGGACATAATTTAGTTTACTTATATTGTGTCTACCGATGCTCCTGGTGTAATGTACATTTGCTGAACCATTTTGACAACTCTGCATCACAATGTTAGGGATTAGCAGAGCTGGGCTTGGGTCACTGCTAAGTCATTGTCTCAACGCAGCCTTATAATGCTGTGTAAGGATCCAGGAACCCAAATTATTTGGGTGGATCCCATCCTCCTTAAAAAACGTGTTTTGTTTCCAAAAGGTATTGAAATTGTTAACAAAAGTTACACCCATTGAGCTGCAATAATCACGTAGCCAGTTGTGAAGAGCAAGAATCCTGCTAATGCATTCCATACCATGATTCAGAGAGGGCACAGGGCCAGATATGATGAGTTTTGTGTTAGTGTCTAACAGAGAGTCAATCAGTTCTTTAAAATCCAGTTTCAACTGTTCAGAGCTGCCCTTCATAATGTCATTAAAACCCACATGGACTACGATGTAATCGATTTCTATGTCCTGACTTAGTACATTCGGGAGTAGCTTAGTAATGTCATTTACTTGAGCTCCGGGATAGGACATTGTTTTTGCACCAGAAACGGTCACATTTCTTACCATGGAGCTGCCCAAAATCACAGCTGGCGAGAAAGACGAGGAAATCCACCCACTCCCACGCTTCACAGGATGCAGGCCTCCGACAGATGGAGAAGCCCTGTTCGATCCAGAGCAGGGTGGAAGGTTGCCGACGTCGACTTTGAAATCGTAGTAGTAGGCACTGCAGCCGCAGACACAGGCACCCCAGCGATGAAGGTGCAGGAAGATCAAGCTCCAGGATGGCGAAACTATTTGTTGTTTGTGTCCGTTTCGGGCCTCTCGTTGGGAGTGTAGACTGCTATGTGGGAGTTTGCTGTCTTCGGCTTCCACGGCTCGTGACATCCGACCATCGTTGATTGCCTTTCTCCTCATGCTGTGCTCCTTCAACGGTGCTATCAAATGGGGGAGCTCCGGGCAACACTGGCCAGTCGGATAACGACTAACGACAAGGCTGAGATGCATCCAACAAGCGCGAACGCCATCCAGCCACCGGTGTAGAAAATGTAAACATTCCACTCTGCGTTTTCCCCAGTTTCTTACGTAGGCTGGCGACCTGCATGATCAAGGAAGCCACCTCAAGCCTATAATCCTCGGCAAGTAAACAATTGCCGCATTGGAACTCTGAGTGATCCGGTTTGTCCCTAAACAAACCATAATAGATACAGCTCCAACAGCGCTGGAACCGTTCATTTAGAGTGCCTTGCAAAAGTATTCATCCCCCTTTAAGTTTTTCCTATTTTGTTGCATTACAACCTGTAATTTAAATGGATTGTTATTTGTATTTCATGTAATGGACATACACAAAATAGTCCAAATTGGTGAAATGAAATGATACAAATAACTTGTTTCAAAAAAGTCTATACAAATAAATAACGTAAATGTGGTGCGTGCATATGTATTCACCCCCTTTGCTATGAAGCCTCTAAATAAGATCTGGTGCAACCAATTACCTTAAGAAGTCACATAATAAGTTAAATAAAGTCCACCTGTGTGCAATCTAAGTGTTACATAGTCTCAGTGTATATATACACCTGTTCTGAAAGGCCCCAGAGTCTGCAACACCAATAAGCAAGGGGCACCACCAAGCAAGCGGCACCATGAAGACCAAGGAGCTCTCCAAACAGGTCATGGACAAAGTTTTGGAGAAGTACAGATCAGGGTTGGGTTATAAAAAATATCAGAAACTTTGAACATCCCACAGAGCACCATTAAATCCATTATAAAAAAATTGAAAGAATATGACACCACAACAAACCTGCCAAGAGTGGGCCGCCCACCAAAACTCACGGACCAGGCAAGGAGGGCATTAATCAGAGAGGCAACAAAGAGACCAAAGATAACCCTGAAGGAGCTGGAAATCTCCACAGTGGAGATTGGAGTATCTGTCCATAGGACCACTTTAAGCCGTACACTTCACAGAGCTGGGCTTTACGGAAGAGTGGCCAGAAAAAAGCCATTGCTTAAAGAAAAAAATAAGCAAACACGTTTGGTGTTCGCTAAAAGGCATGTGGGAGACTCCCCAAACATATGGGAGAAGGGACTTTGGTCAGATGAAACTCAAATTGAGCTTTTTGACCATCAAGGAAAACGCAATGTCTGGCGCAAACCCAACACCTCTCATCACCCCGAGAACAACATCCCCACAGGGAAGCATGGTGGTGGCAGCATCGTGCTGTGGGGATGTTTTTCATCGGCAGGGACTGGGAAATTGGTCAGAATTGAAGGAATGATGGATGGCGCTAAATACAGGGAAATTCTTGAGTGAAACCTGTTTCTGTCTTCCAGAGATTTGAGACTTCCAGCAGGACAATGACCCTAAGCATACTGCTAAAGCAACACTTGAGTGGTTTAAGGGGAAACATTTAAATGTCTTGGAATGGCCTAGTCAAAGACCAGACCTCAATCCAATTGAGAATCTGTGGTATGATTGCTGTACACCAGCGGAACCCATCCAACTTGAAGGAGCTGGAGCAGTTTTGCCTTGAAGAATGGGCAAAAATCCCAGTGGCTAGATGTGCCAAGCTTATAGAGACATACCCCAAGAGACTTGCAGCTGTAATTGCTGCAAAAGATGGCTCTACAAAGTTTTTTTTGGGGGGGTGAATACTTATGCACGCTCAAGTTTTCTGTTTTTCAGTCTTATTTCTTGTTTGTTTCACAATAACAAATATTTTGCATCTTCAAAGTGGTAGGCATGTTGTGGAAATCTAATGATACAAACTCCCAAAAAATCAATTTTAATTCCAGGCTGTAAGGCAACAAAATAGCGGTCCTAGCTGATGAAAGCTAACTGCGTCGTGGAATCCACGCAAAAACAAGTTCTGTATTCGTATTTATGAATAGGGGGGGACTAATGACAGTCAGCTTGTAGGGCAGGGCAAACAGACTCCTGGAAGATGGACATGTCAAGGGAGTTGATGTTTCTAAATTTAATAGTGCGCTTGGGGTGGAGCTGGAGTGCAGAAGTACTCACAGACATTGTCATGGACCTATGGTCAGATACCATAGGTATCATGAGGTAATCACCTCATACAAGTACTTGGGCGTATGGCTAGACGGTACACTGTCCTACTCTCAGCACATATCAAAGCTGCAGGCTAAGGTTAAATCTAGACTTGGTTTCCTCTATTGTAATAACTCCTCTTTCACCCCAGCTGCCAAACTAACCCTAATTCAAATGACCATCCTACCCATGCTAGATTACGGAGACATAATTTATAGATGGCAGGTAAGGTTGCTCTCGAGCGGCTAGATGTTCTTTACCATTTGGCCAATAGATTTGCCACCAATGCTCCTTATAGGACACATCACTGCACTCTATACTCCTCTGTAAACTGGTCATTTCTTTATACCTGTCACAAGACCCACTGGTTGATGCTTATATATAAATCCCTCTTAGGCCTCACCCCCACCTATCTGAGATACCTACTGCAGCCCTCATTCTCCACATACAACACCCGTTCTGCCAGTCACATTCTGTTAAAGGTCCCCAAAGCACACACATCCCTGGTAGCTCCTCTTTTCAGTTTGCTGCAGCTAGCGACTGGAACGAGATGCAAAAAACACTAAAACTGGACAGTTTTATCTCCATCTCTTCATTCAAAGACTCAATCATGGACACTCTTACTGACAGTTTTGGCTGCTTATCGTGATGTATTGTTGTCTCTACCTTCTTGCCCTTGGTGCAGTTGTCTGTGCCCAATAATGTTTGTACCATGTGTTGTGCCGCTACCATGTTGTGCTGCTGCCATGTTGTGTTCCTACCATGTTGTTGTCATGTTGTGTTGCTACCATGCTGTGTTGTCATGTGTTGCTGCCATGCTATGTTGTTGTCTTAGGTCCCTCTTTATATGGTGTTATGTTTGTTTTAGGGGGGCGAAAGATGAGAATCACAGTGAGAGGACTGGGAGACAGGCCTAGATTCAATCAGATCAAATGTTAAGCGCCGATAGCAAACACCCGCATAGCGGATGTTTTGGTGGTGTCTGAGGTGGAACTGCGTTGGAGCGTCAAATTACTGAGCTGCTGCTCTTGCGATCATTATCACAAAGCCACACCACTCTCGTTAGATATTCAGACCGAGAACGTGTAGGCAATTACGCTCAAATAGAAAAATCATTAAACTAAATAATGAGGATTTCTATCATCCAAATCGAGGTGTGTAGATTACATCTCACATTCCAGTGTTTGAACTTCTAAACAAGGCTGCATGGGATTTCTGTTAATGTGACTCTGTGCAACCAATGGCAATATCCGCTTTAGGTATAATGCCGGGAGTCACTTGTGGATTTGACATCTCTAATGCAGTTCCACTTCTGACACAGCCAAAACAAACGCTATGCTGATATCGGCTAAAGAGGATCTGATTGACTAGAGCACTTAATTTTAAAAGCCATGTACTAAAAATGATAAGCCAGCAGGGACAGGCAAAATGTGTATATCCATGTCCATGAGTTTCTAGACATTTTACTCTTACCCAGAGCGACTTGCAGGAGCAATTAGGGTTAAGTGCCTTGCTCAAGGTTATTTATCTCCAGATTTGTCACGTAGTTTGCTCGGGGATTCAAACCTGCGACCTTTCGGTTACTGGCCCAATGCTCTTAACCGCTAGGCTACCTGACCATGTGGTTCCAGAGAAAATAGCTTAATTAATTAAAAAAAGCATCAATTAAATTATTTTCAATCAACTCTGCAACTGTTCCAACTATTGTCTTTTTTCACAACTGCCACCAGTTTGGGCCCAAAACATTTACAACAAAGACAAATTGACATAGTAAAGTAAATGTGTGTAAAACAATATATATAAATGATATTTCATGCTGCAACCCACATATTGAAGTTGAATGTTTATATTTAGGATTATGTTTTATACTTTTGTCATTCAATTTTTATTATAAAATCATGTTATTTGATTTATTTAAATAAACAGTATGCATACAAAAGTATGTGGACACCCCTTCAAATTAGTGGATTCGGCTATTTCAGCCACACCCGTTGCTGACAGGTGTATAAAATTGAGCACACCGCCATGCAATCTCCATAGTCAAACATTGGCAGTAGAATGGCCTTATTGAAGAGCTCACTGACTTTCAATGTGGCACTGCCATAGGATGCCACCTTTCCAACAAGTCAGTTCATCAAATATCTGCCCTGCTAGAGCTGCCCCAGTCCACTGTAAGTGCTGTTATTGTGAAGTGGAAACGTCTAGGAGCAACAACGGCTCAGCCGCGTAGTGGTAGGCCATACAAGCTCACAGACTGGGACCGCTGAGTGCTGAAGCAAGTAGCGCATAAAATTAGTCTGTCCTCGGTTGCAACACTCACTACCGAATTTCAAACTGCCTCTGGAAGTAACGTCAGCACAAGAACTGTTCGAGGGAACTTCATGAGTCGAGCAGCCGCACACAAGTCTAAGATCACCATATGCAATGCCAAGTGTCAGCTGGAGTGGTGTAAAGCTCGCCGCCATTGGACTCTGGAGCAGTGGAAACGCGTTCTCTGGAGTGATGAATCACTCTTCACCATCTGGTAGTCCGACGGACAAATCTGGGTTCGGCGGATGCCAGGAGAACGCTACCTGCCCGAATGCATAGTGCCAACTGTAAAGTTTGGTGGAGGAGGAATAATGGTCTGGGGCTGTTTTTATGGTTCGGGCTAGGCCCCTTTGTTCCAGTGAAGGGAAATCTTAACGCTACAGCATACAATGACGGTCTATGCAATTCTGTGCTTCCAACTTTGTGGCAACCATTTGGGGAAGGCCCTTTCCTGTTACAGCAATGTTCCAATATCTAGTGGAAAGCTTTCCCAGAAGTGTGGAGGCTGTTATAGCAGCAAAGGGGGGACCAACTCCATATTAATGCCAATGATTTTGGAATGAGATGTTTGACGATCAGGTGTCCAAATACTTTCGATCATGTAGTGTATATTACATGTGATGAGGCCACACAGAGGCCCAGCGATAATCTGAAGTACCCAAAAAGGCCACTAGATATCATCTGAAAACATTCCATATATTCCTTGAAAGTTACCAAAATTATGGTAGTTTACTGGTAAACTTCGAAGCCACCCTATTCCCAGGTCATTTGGACTATAAATTGTGCGTTCCTGTATTATTCTCATGCTAAAATGTTTATTATATTCTACTGAGGCATTTACTTTATGTACATATTTTTATATTTTATTATTTCTTATTGTTGTTGTATTGTCGAAAAGGAACCTGCAAGTAAGCATTTCGTTGGACGGTGTATACCATGTGTATCCTGTATACGACTAATAAAACGTGAAACTTGTCATTGATGAACTCTTGGATTAGTAGAGTCTTGTTTGTTGGAGACTGTTCATTAAACAGTGCCAGTCTTAAAGGGGCCTGAGTGAGAGGCGGAAAATGTACTTTTTTAACTGGCTGCAGAGAGTCAGAAACTGCATAGAGGGAGAAGAGAGGGAGACGTACAGTTCTGTGTGAAATCTTTTGACTCATGAATGGATTTCCTACCTCCTCAATGTTTGAGCTTTTTCTGTAGAATTCAAATTTGAAGAAGTCATTTTTTCAGCTACTTACTCAGGGTTTGTTTTATACTCTTAAAACTATGAAGGAATCCTCCTGAGTAAAAGATGCGAGTGTCCCCCATTCCTGTACTCTGTAGTCCTTTGTAGTCCTCCAGGAGAAAATTGGTAAAACTCTTGATTAGCTACTCAAGCATGCGTAAGATATTGCCAGCAGCAAGATTTGACTTCGATTTCTAGAAAGACAATTGCTGTAGCTTACAAATGGTATGTAATAAAACATATTTAACCGTAATTGACAGGTTGGATACCGGGTCCACAAAAATAGACAGAGTTTAAAAGGGAGCATCAGGTACTTCTTGAATGTCTACCAATGACATGTCCATCTTTTTGTGAGATATTACACTGGTCACTCAAGACATTTATAAAGTATTTTTTAAGTATAAATAGATTAGGGACTACAAAAATACTTTACTAATGATTAGACATTAAACATCTCATGAATGATCTTATGAATCATTAGTAATACATCATTTAAAAGTTAATAAAATGTATTAACTACCTTACTAACATTTACAAATGTGGGAGTAAATGATTAATTAATGGTGAGCAAACTGTTTGTAAATGCCTTATAAATGGTTTAGTACTGAACAGTATTATAAAGTGTTACCTGAGAAGATGTTATTTTAACTGAGTTAAAGATGCATTCCGGAATCTTAAGCACTTACAAATTCGTAACATAGTATACGAATTGGAATTCATATCTCATACAAATTGCAAAATATTGTAAAAAAAAAAAAAAAGCAGGACTTAATATACTGTATCATAGGAAATGGATGAGGTAGTACACAATGTTTTGGCTAGTGAGCATTACTTTCAAAATTAAAGGCTGAAATTATACAACTCTGTAGCATCACTTAAATAGTGGTCACACGAATGGTCAGCGGATTCGCTGTAAATGATTCTGGCATGCTTGAATATGTTATACAAGTACAGGCATGTGGAAGGGCCTGACCTGTACCAATATTTGCCCTGTCTCTCTCTCTCGCATGTATTTCTCTCCTCTCACTTCTTGTATCCTCCCCCCTTCTCTGTCTCACTCTCTCCCCTCATCGGTTTGTATGTCTTTGTCTTTCCTTCTCCCTCTTTCAACTCCCCTCTATCTCTCACACTCTGTTGCTCACACTCACTTGCTTGCTTTCTGGCTCGCTTGCTCACTCACGCACTCTCTTTCTCTTACTTTCTCCACCGCTATAGAAAAGCTCTCGGTAGAGGCCAAGCCTCCATGGTTCAAACAGGCCATCGAGTTGGAGGAGGACACAACTGTGTCTGAAGAGCCCACGTAAGTGCCAAGGCCTCCAGGGGCCCATTACTGCTAACAGTGTTCTTTGGTCCAGATCTTGGAGACGCACAGGATTGCAAGCTTTTGTTCCAGCTCAACTGTTCAATGATACACGTTTATTCAGTACAAGGCGATTAGTTTGTAATGACTGGAGGTGTTCTCTCAACACTGTAGGGTGTACATCTGTATTTGCATATTTCCCAGCATGCCTTTCAAGTGAATGTGAGTGATACCCACCCATGACTGTGTTTGTTAGTGACAGAGATATGGTTGTTAATTTCAGTAACCTATTATCTTGAAGCTTTCACCAAATAACTGCATTAGTGAATGGTTTGCATGTCTTTGTCACACTGCAAGTTAATGTAAATGAACTCAACAAAGTTGCGTAAAACCAAGACCACGTGATTGAAAAAATGAATTTGTTGCTGCAAACTTCCCGCAAGTTTGTGGCAAATTTGCTGCAGCATATGGGCCGTGCTGGGCTAGACCGTGTTGTGCTGATGTAGGATTACTGTGGGCTAGCCTGTGCTCATTATGTGAGCAGGTTACAACCGGTGTTCCTCTCAAAAGCGGATCTCAGTTGAAACCATCACAGGTGTCCAGGCCATGTGGTAATATATTGAGAAGAAGGCACGGTTACAGTACGATGTCTCCTGATGCAGAACACAAAACAGGGAAGATTTACAATAGGAAATATCTGTTTCACAAATGTAACGTTGGTCTGTTGGGGGAGCCAAGAGAGAGCCAGGCCCTGATACAGTTTGTCTGCAATAGGCTCCCGATCCAATGGCTGTGATTTACCTGGAGGTTACACCAAGGTAGACTAGGGGCCTTTCCGTTGCCATGAAGTCCGCTGTAAGTTTCATTCCAACAGCAATCCGGCTGCTGAACAGTGGGACATAGGACAAATGTAGGCCCAATACATGGTCGACAGTAGGCCACAGAGACTGTGGATAAGTGTGCACTAACTCCTAACTTTCAAGTTTTTTCTGTACTGTGTATTATTATTGTATTGTTTTTGTGTATTTGTATACTGACTTCACAAAATGAATTTCAATGTAAATGGGCAATAAAGTATATTGTATCGTATTGTAGGTCTGGTCATGTCGACAGCCCTTTTTTCGGGCAAAGCCTGCCTAGACAGCAGTAGTTCTGTAGATGTTTATATTTCTCAACAATATGAGGTTTAATTCACTTCCAACCCACCAGTGTTTGTAAGTAATTGAGAGATCTCGTCCCCTTTTGCAGTTGGAACACATTTGTCAAGGCTGGTAACAACCAACGACTCCAGTATCAATCACTTGAATAATTCCTTGATCAACTTCTGCATTGAAAATCAATTTTGGCTGCTACCTTGATCTACCTTTCACATGGCACAGTATGTATCCAATTTTAATAAGACTGTATAGGAGCGAGAGTATAATCTTTTTTTCTAAAGTAGTGCATAAAATCTTCTAATGTTCTTGACTAAAGGCCATGAGTAACTTGGTTATAAGCAGTCTCACTTAAACCCTAATTTATGCTGCCCCGTTTGAGCTAGAGACTTGAAACTTTGTATGTAGGTGTCTCTACTCATGCTAAACACATTTACCTCAAGCACCCATAAGATCCGTCATGATAGATTTTCCTCCATCTTGCACATTTTGGAAAACCTTTGAAAAACGTATTATGAATCATAAGTCCAAATATCACCAAATTCGTTATGTAGGCCCATGGTACATCTCTTAACTTAGTTTGCGAAAAGCTAGTTGGTTAAGAGATGGCTGGGTTATTGATCAATCAGGAAATCTGATTTTACGTTCCATTTAAATCCTTTGTTAATCCACTTCACAATGGCCTATCAACTTGGAACTTTTTAGGGTCATCAAAGACCCTATACAGCGCATTTGGAAAGTATTCAGACCCTTTGACCTTTTCCACATTTTGTTATGTTGCAGCCTTATTCTAAAATGGATAAAAGTATTTTCCACCTCATCAATCTACACACAATACCCCAGAATGACAAAGCGAAAACAGGTTTTTAGACATTTTTGCAAATGTAATAAAAATCAAAAACAAAAATACCTTATATACATAAGTATTCAGACCCTTTGCTATGAGACTCGAAATTGAACTCCGGTGCATCCTGTTTACATTGATCATCCTTGAGATGTTTCTACAACTTGATTGGAGTCCACCTGTGGTAAATTCAATTGATTGGACATGATTTGGAAATGCACACACCTGTCTATATAAGGTCCCACAGTTGACAGTGCATGTCAGAGCAACAACCAAGCCATGAGGTCGAAGGAATTGTCCGTAGAGCTCAGAGACAGGATTGTGTCAAGGCACAGATCTGGGGAAGGGTACCTAAACATTTCTGCAGCATTGAAGGTCCCCAAGTACACAGTGGCCTCCATCATTCTTAAATGGAAGAAGTTTGGAACCACCAAGACTCTTCCTAGAGCTGGCCGCCCGGCCAAACTGAGCAATCGGGGGATAAGGGCCTTGGTCAGGGAGGTGACCAGGAACCCGATGGTCAATCTGACTGCGCTCCAGAGTTCCTCTGTAGAGATGGGAGAATCTTCCAGAAGAACAGCCATCTCTGCAGCACTCCACCAATCAGGCTTTTATTGTAGAGTGGCCAGACGGAGGCCACTCCTCAGTAAAAGGCATATGACAGCGCGCTTGGAGTTTGCCAAAAGGCACCTAAAGACTCTCAGACCATGAGAAACAATATTCTCTGGTCTGATGAAACCAAGATTGAACTCTTTGGCCTGAATACCAAGCGTCACGTCTGGAGGAAACTTGGCACCATCCCTACGGCGAAACATGGTTGTGGCAGCGTCATGCAGTGGGGATGTTTTTCAGCGGCAGGAACTGGGAGAATAGTCAGGATCGAGGGAAAGATGAATGGAGCAAAGTACAGAGTGATCCTTGATGAAAACCTGCTACAGAGCACTCAGGACCTCAGACTGGGACGAAGGTTCACCTTCCAACAGGACAATGACCCTAAGCACACAGCCAAGACAACGCAGGAGTGGCATCCGGACAAGTCTCTGAATGTCCTTGAGTGGCCCAGCCAGCGCCCGGACTTGAACCCGATCAAACATCTCTGGAGAGACCTGAAAATACCTGTGCAGCGACGGTCCCCATCCATCCTGACAGAGGTTGAGAGGATCTGCAGAGCGGAATGAGAGAAACTCCCCAAATACAGGTGTGCCAAGCTTGTAGCGTCATACCCAAGAAGACTCGAGGCTGTAATCGCTGCCTCAGATGCTTCAACAAAGTACTGATAAATTAAATTAGCTATAATTTCAAAAAAACAGTTTTTGCTTTATCAAGGACGCACCCCTTAGCAGCCAAAAACAATTTAATCTGTTTAGGCTGTAATGTAACAAAATGTGGTCTGAATACTTTCCAAATGCACTATATATAAGGGATAAGAAATTATGCAATTAAAATTATTTCATTCTATCTGCTAAATAGATAGCTGATCTATCCCCTTAAAAACTTAAAAGGACATTACCATGATGAACCATGTTAACTCTAGAACCACCTGGCCTTTCAGCCTATAAGTATCCGCTAGAGAACTTTGTCCCCTTTAGCAAATGCATCAGATGCATATCAACCCGCAAGATGTGCAAACATAAGCACCAACATAAGCACCAATGCTTGCTAAATAGCGCATAAACGATTGTAAAGGATTAATTGCATAAATAATTATTTGTGGAAATAAATCAATTCAAATAAATAACAACAATAGTTATTTGTTTAGTTAGAGTAAAATATATGTTTTAGAAGGTAAGTCCTAGAAAAAACTTAGGCCTATAGACTATTTTCGGATTACTGTGTAATCCATTTGATCAACTTTATTTGTAGATTCGATTAGTAATAGAGTTATAGTAATGAATAAAGTCCAGTTATAGCTTCTTTTGACAAAGCAGGAAGGAAAAAGATAAGAATATAACCAGCCAGGTGAACAGGTGAAATTATTCCGAAACAAAGGCACCAGTGCATGAACAATTGCAAAGGATGAATTGCATAAATACAGTGGGGGGGGAAAAGTATTTAGTCAGCCACCAATTGTGCAAGTTCTCCCACTTAAAAAGATGAGAGAGGCCTGTAATTTTCATCATAGGTACACCTCAACTATGACAGAAAAAATGAGGAAAATAAATCCAGAAAATCACATTGTAGGATTTTTTATGAATTTATTTGCAAATTATGGTGGAAAATAAGTATTTGGTCAATAACAAAAGTTTCTCAATACTTTGTTATATACCCTTTGTTGGCAATGACACAGGTCAAACGTTTTCTGTAAGTCTTCACAAGGTTTTCACACACTGTTGCTGGTATTTTGGCCCATTCCTCCATGCAGATCTCCTCTAGAGCAGTGATGTTTTGGGGCTGTCGCTGGGCAACACGGACTTTCAACTCCCTCCAAAGATTTCCTATGGGGTTGAGATCTGGAGACTGGCTAGGCCACTCCAGGACCTTGAAATGCTTCTTACGAAGCCACTCCTTCGTTGCCCGGGCGGTGTGTTTGGGATCATTGTCATGCTGAAAGACCCAGCCACGTTTCATCTTCAATGCCCTTGCTGATGGAAGGAGGTTTTCACTCAAAATCTCACGATACATGGCCCCATTCATTCTTTCCTTTACACGGATCAGTCGTCTTGGTCCCTTTGCAGAAAAACAGCCCCAAAGCATGATGTTTCCACCCCAATGCTTCACAGTAGGTATGGTGTTCTTTGGATGCAACTCAGCATTCTTTGTCCTCCAAACACGACGAGTTGAGTTTTTACCAAAAAGTTATATTTTGGTTTCATCTGACCATATGACATTCTCCCAATCCTCTTCTGGATCATCCAAATGCACTCTAGCAAACTTCAGACGGGCCTGGACATGTACTGGCTTAAGCAGGGGGACACGTCTGGCACTGCAGGATTTGAGTCCCTGGCGGCGTAGTGTGTTACTGATGGTAGGCTTTGTTACTTTGGTCCCAGCTCTCTGCAGGTCATTCACTAGGTCCCCCCGTGTGGTTCTGGGATTTTTGCTCACCGTTCTTGTGATCATTTTGACCCCACGGCGTGAGATCTTGCGTGGAGCCCCAGATCGAGGGAGATTATCAGTGGTCTTGTATGTCTTCCATTTCCTAATAATTGCTCCCACAGTTGATTTCTTCAAACCAAGCTGCTTACCTATTGCAGATTCAGTCTTCCCAGCCTGGTGCAGGTCTACAATTTTGTTTCTGGTGTCCTTTGACAGCTCTTTGGTCTTGGCCATAGTGGAGTTTGGAGTGTGACTGTTTGAGGTTGTGGACAGGTGTCTTTTATACTGATAACAAGTTCAAACAGGTGCCATTAATACAGGTAACGAGTGGAGGACAGAGGAGCCTCTTAAAGAAGAAGTTACAGATCTGTGAGAGCCAGAAATCTTGCTTGTTTGTAGGTGACCAAATACTTATTTTCCACCATCATTTGCAAATAAATTCATTAAAAATCCTACAATGTGATTTTCTAGATAATTTTTTCTCAATTTGTCTGTCATAGTTGACGTGTACCTATGATGAAAATTACAGGCCTCTCTCATCTTTTTAAGTGGGAGAACTTGCACAATTGGTGGCTGACTAAATACTTTTTTTCCCCACTGTACATATTTGTGGAAATATATTCATGACAAGATATAAAAAACGTAATTTTCTTGATTGTATCAGACAATGTGTTGTGCCCTTATACGCATCCCATTACACATGAATCAATCTCGTCTTCTCTTTATGCGTCGGTTCCACAGTCAGCTCACAGCTTCAGGGCTTTGTGTGAGCATGCCCCACAAACAAATCGGTTGCGCTGCACACAGTTTTCATTGGCTTTGTTCCGTGGGTACCTGCCGCAGGTGTCGCATAATCTCTGTGAAGCAATTGCATGGCATGGTCTCTCGAAAAAGTCCACCCCATACCTATCAGACCAAAATGACTCCACATTCATTCTCTTTCTGCCGTATGCCCCGCGGACATACAAGAGTGCAATAACTGCTTTGAGTTCATCCATGTCTCACCGTGGCAGTTGGGATCCCCGTCTCAGTTGGCTCTGTTCTGTTTTTTCTGCTGCGAGGCTCAGGCATCGGAGGCGGAGGCACGAAGTCAACATCAGAATCAGATGAAGATTCATCAGCCAGGTCGATTTCAAGCTCAATATCCGATCCTCCATCCTTCTCCAACTCATCTAAATTCTGCAGCATTTGCAATGCTGTTAGTGCGTCCATTCCTTTGCTTGGGGTTGCCATTGTGAACTACACACATTGTATATTGTACTCAGTGTCTGATTTGACTCTCCGAGGGGAAATTCTATACCATTTCCAGCCTTAAATTGTAGGCGGTCTAATAAATTATTAGACCGCCTACAACGCCCACAATTCTTCATCATCATTACACTATTGTTCTAAATTCAATCATCCTCTTCACCTTCATCATTCAGATCAATCAAATTCAATCACCCTCTTCACCCTCCTCATCATTCAGTTCATTGAAGACACATGCACCATTATCAGTTTCTATCTGGTTTCTATCGCCCATTCATCCATTGACGACAGAATAGCACATTTATTATGTTGCTTGTTTTTGTTTAGTAGCCAGAGCAATTCTGCCGCGCGAGTGGTCATGTGCACGGATAGTTTTGGAAAAAGTGAAATTATAAAATAGAGCTGCACCTCTTGAATTTTGAGAGTTATCTGACAAAGGTAAGTGTTAAAGAAACTACGGAATATGCTCTATCTGATACTATATAGAAATCAACATGTTTTAGATGCATGTGACTCTGAAGGAGAATTTGATAAAGTGATGCTCCTTTCCCTGTATCTGTCAATTACAAGATGTGCCCATCTCTTCATGTACAATTTGACAATTTATAGGCCTAATATTGTCACTCATCGGATTATTGTCAATTTCTGACCTGACACCTGGATTCGGTTTTATGTAGCAAAATTTGAAATGGTGTTTTTTACACTGGATAAAAGTAGAGACTCTGAGCTAGAAAATGGTATATCATACACTGCAGTTGAGGAACAATGGGAAAGTAATTCTGCTTTGAAAGATTATAAAAGTGTAACCCCACTTTTGAGAAAATGGGGACTGTGAAGAGACCTCTTGTGGCATGTCTTGTGGGGTTTGCATGGGTGTCCGAGCTGTGTGCCAGTATTCCAAACAGACAGCTCGATACATTCAGCTTGTCAACACCTCTTACAAAAACAAAAAGCGATGAAGTCAATCTCTCTTCCACTCTAAGCCAGGAGTGACTGACATGCATGTCATTCATGTTAGCTCTCCATGTACTTTTAAGGGCCAGCCGTGCTGCCCTGTTCTGAGCCAACTACAATTTTCCCAAGTCTCTCTTTGTGGCACCTGACCACACTACTGAACAGTAGTCTAGGTGCGACAAAACGATGGCCTGTCAGACCTGCCTTGTTGATAGTGTTGTTAAGAAGGCAGAGCAGCGCTTAATTATGGACATACTTCTCCCCATCTTAGCTACTGTTGCATCAATATGCTCTGACCATGACAGTTTACAATCCAGGGTTACTCCAAGCAGTTTAGTCACCTCAACTTGCTCAATTTCCATATTATTCATTACGAGATGTAGTTGAGGTTTAGGGTTTAGTGAATGATTTGACCCAAATACAATGCTTTTAGTTTTGGAAATATTTAGGACTAACTTTTTCCTTGCCACCCATTCCGAAACTAACTGCAACTCTTTGTTCAGTGTTGCAGTTATTTCAGTTGCTGTAGTAGCTGATGTGTATAGTGTTGAGTCATCCGCATACATAGATACACTCCTTTACTCAAAGCCAGTGGCATGTCGTTAGTAAAGATGGGGAAAAGTAACGGGCCTAGACAGCTGCCCTGGGGAATTCCTGATTCTACCTGGATAATTTTTTGAGTGGCTTCCATTAAAGAACACCCTCTGTGTTCTGTTAGAGAAGTAACTCTTTATCCACATTATAGCAGGTAGGTTAGTGGGTAAGAGCATTGTGCCAGTAACCGAAAGGTCGCTGGTTCTAATCCCCGAGCCGACTAGGTGAAAAATCTGTCGATGTGCTCTTGAGCAAGGCACTTAACCCTAATTGCTCCTATAAGTCGCTCTGGATAAGAGCGTCTGCTAAATGACTAAAAATGTAAACTGTAAAATAGCAGGGGGTGTAAAGCCATAAAACATATGTTTTTCCAGCAGCAGACTATGATCGATAATGTCAAAAGCCACACTGAAGTCTAACAAAACAGCCCCCACAATCTTTTTATCATCAATTTCTCTCAGCCAATCATCAGTCATTTGTGTAAGTGCTGTGCTTGTTGAATGTCCTTCTCTATAAGGATGCTGAAAGTTTGTTGTCAATTTGTTTACTGTAAAATAGCATTGTATCTGGTCAAACACCATTTTTTCCGATGGATTACTAAGGCTTGGTAACAGGCTAATTGGTCGGCTGTTTGAGCCAGTACAGGGTGCTTTACTATTCTCAGGTAGCGGAATGACTTTTGCTTCCAAGCCTTGGGGCACACACATTCTTGTAGGCTTAAATTGAAAATATGGCAAATAGGAGTGGCAATATTGTCCGCTATTATTCTCAGTAATTTTCCATCCAAGTTGTCAGAGCCCGGTGGCTTGTCATTGTTAATAGACAACAATATTTTTTTCACCTCTTCCACACTCGCTTTACAGATTTCAAATTTACAATGCTTGTCTTTCATAATTTGGTCAGATATACTTGGATGTGTAGTGTCAGCAATTGTTGCTGGCATGTCATGCCTACGTTTGCTAATCTTGCCAATTAAAAATTATTAAAGTAGTTGGCAATATCAGTTGGTTTTGGGATTAATGAGCCATCGGATTCAATGAATGATGGAGCTGAGTTTGCCTTTTTCCCCAAAATTGTATTTAAGGTGATCCAAAGCTTTTTACTATCATTCTTTATGTCATTTATCCTTGTTTCATAGTGTTGTTTCGTCTTCTTTTTATTCAGTTTAGTCACATGATTTCTCAATTTGCAATACGTTTGCCAATCGGTTGTGCAGCCAGACTTATTTGCCATTCCTTTTGCCTCATCCCTCTCAACCATACAATTTTTCAATTCCTCATCAATCCACATGGATTTAACTGTTTTTACAGTCATTTTCTTAATGGGTGCATGCTTATAGTAACTGGAATAAGCAATTTCATAAATGTGTCAAGTGCAGTGTCTGTTTGCACCTCATTACACACCACCGACCAACATATATTCTTTACATCAACAACATATGAATCACTACAAAACTTATTGTATGACCTCTTAAATGTTCTGAGAATGTTCCAAAGCCAAGCAACTATCCTCCAACATTCCCAGAAAGTTGTGGGAGGTTGTATGCAAAATAACCATGAGGCAACCACACTCTAACAATTATTTTCTTAGAACTTTTTGCGCTAGCTGGGAAATTAGACAAGATCTGCTCTTGGTCAGGGCCCAGACATCTCTCCTGCTCCCCTGCTACGTGCTCCATCCCATTCTCTCTTTCTCTGCTAGTCTCTTTCCCTCTTTCGCTCTCTCTCTCTTCCCTCTTTCTCTCATCTTTCTTTGTGCAGTTGAATGTTTGACAGCCCTGGGCGTCATCTATTTCACACTTGTGAAAGAGAGTTGGCAATCAATTGTTCCAGCTTCAGAGAGGCCAATGAAGTCCATTGATCTATAAGCATTTCCCCTCTCTAATTAATTCTTAAAGACGAGGAAGGAAAAATCAAAAGCAATTTACCCAAGAGAGGCCGACCCTAATGCTTCACATCTGTTTAGTTAACCGCAGCAGAGCTGGATTTCAGAAATGCTTTGTCAATTCATGAACTTAGCAGCAAATTACTAAAACCTATGAGAGGGAGGAGATGCCAAAACCGACATCATTCCCTATGTTAATTTTGCATTACTGCTGCTCTGCACTCAGCACATCCATGCCAGCCTACAATTATTCAGGAGAATACGTCTTTACTAATACCGGTGCTTTTTTTGCATTTGTGTGTGCATACACGTCCATGTGTGTGCGTACACATCCATGTATGCGCATTTGTGCATCTGTGTAGGTTTATCCGCGGACCCTGGTTGCCTTGCAGTAGGACATGTGGTGCAGGGACACAGCGGCGTGCAGTGAAGTGCCAGATCCTGCTGTCCTTCTCCCAGTCTGTGACTGACCTACCCGATGATGAGTGTGAGGGGCCCAAGCCTCCAGAAAGCCAGCCCTGCTACCGCACCCCCTGCCCTGGGCTAGAAGGCCAAGAAGAGGAAGATGGGTCCCCACAGAAAGAGGAGCTCCATGACTGGGAGTATGAGGGCTTCACAGAGTGCTCCGAGAGCTGTGGTGGAGGTATGATGCAAGGGTGCTCACAGTCAATTGCGCCAACAGAAACACTCACCTCGATATGTATTTGGACAGTGAAACTACATATTTTTTTTATTTGGCAACAGTACAGAACGTCACCTTTTAGTTTAGGGTATTTTCATACATATCTGTTTTACCGTTTAGAAATGAAAGCACTGGGGCCTCCCGAGTGGCGCAGCGTTCTAAGGCACTGTGTCGCAGTGCTGAGGCATCACTACAGCCTTGGGTTCGATCCCAGGGTGTGACAGCTGCCTGGGAGACCCCTTGAGGCGGCGCACAATTGGCCTGGCGTCATCCAGGTTAGGGGAGAGTTTGGCAGGATGGAATTTCCTTGTCTCATCGTGCTCTAACAACTCCTTGAGGCGGGCCGGGCGCCTGCAAGCTGTCATCAGTTGGACAGTGTTTCCTCCGACACATTGGTGCGGCTGGCTTCCGGGTTAAGTAAGCAGTGTGTTAAGAAGCAGTGCGGCTTGGCAGGGTCGTATTTTGGAGGACGCTCTTGACCTTCACCTCTCCCGAGTCCGTAAGGGAGTTGCAGCGATGAGACAAGACTGTAACTACCAATTGGATAATATAAAAAAGGGGTAAAAAAAAAAATAGAAATAATGGAAGCAGTTTGTTAATATTGTGTTTATAAAATCATAAAATGACTTTGGGATAGCATTCCATTAAGGTTTTGTTCATGTGTTAGTGCTATGTTATTGTTGAGGAATACATAATAGTACTGTTATACTGATAGTACCCACTGGCTATCATAAAGGGAATGCACCAATTTGTAAGTCGCTCTGGATAAGAGCGTCTGCTAAATGACGTAAATGTAAATGTACTGTAGATAAGCCCCCAAGCAGCAAAAAACTAAAATAAATACAGACTAGAAAGGTCATTTTACATAAAGAGAAACTGTGTGGCTTTCTTCACCTGGCCAAAACTATTTTTATGATAGTTAAAGAAGTTTAGAAGTTGAAATTGCTTAGTGTTGAAAAATGTAGGCTAATTTAGTAGTAGAGGTATTGACTGTATTACAGTAGTGGGATGGTTGTGACACTCTGGCTCCATGGACTTTGATTATTGAGCCAGGGTTGTTCATTTTCATTGTTTGGGTGTATTTCTATGTTGGGTATTCTAGTTGTTCATTTTTATGTTTGGTGATTGTTCTTGATTAGTCATATGACTCCCAATCGGAGGTAACGAGTGTCAGCTGTCGGCTCGTTATCTCTGATTGGGAGCCATATTTAAACTGTGTGGTTTCTCCTTGGTTGGTGGGTTTTTCTGTCACGGTCGTCGTTAATAGAGGAAGCGGAACAAAGCGCAGCGTGTCCAAGAAACATGACTTTATTTAAATAACGTAACCAAAACAAAAGACGACTCAATGAAGTCCAACAGTAACACTCACTGAAAAGGAACAAAAACCCACAAACCAAGGAGAAACCACACAGTTTAAATATGGCTCCCAATCAGAGATAACGAGCCGACAGCTGACACTCGTTACCTCCGATTGGGAGTCATATGACTAATCAAGAACAATCACCAAACATAGAAATGAACAACTAGAATACCCAACATAGAAATACACCCAAACAATGAAAATGAACAACCCTGGCTCAATAATCAAAGTCCATGGAGCCAGAGTGTCACAATGGTAGCCTTTAGTGGTGTACAGTCTTGGTCAAAAGTTTTGAGAATTACACAAATATTAATTTTCACAAAGTCTGCTGCCTCAGTTTTTATGATGCCAATTTGCATATACTCCAGAATGTTATGAAGAGTGATCAGATGAATTGCAATTAATTGCAAAGTCCGTCTTTGCCATGGAAATGAACTTAATCCCAAAAAAACATTTCCACTGCATTTCAGCCCTGCCACAAAAGGACCAGCTGATATCATGTCATTGATTCTCTCGTTAACACAGGTGAGAGTGTTGACGAGGACAAGGCTGGAGATCACTCTGTCATGCTGATTGAGTTAGAATAACAGACTGGAAGCTTTAAAAGGAGGGTAGTGCTTGAAATCGTTGTTCTTCCTCTGTTAACCATGGTTACCTGCAAGGAAACACATGCCGTCATCATTGCTTTGCACAAAAATGGCTTCACAGGCAAGGATATTGCTGCTAGTAAGACTGCACCTAAATCAACCATTTATCAGATCATCAAGAACTTCAAGGAGAGAGGTTCAATTGTTGTGAAGAAGGCTTCAGGGCGCCCAAGAAAGTCCAGCAAGTGCCAGGACCGTCTCCTAAAGTTGATTCAGCTGCGGGATCGGGGCACCACCAGTGCAGAGCTTGCTCAGGAATGGCAGCAGGCAGGTGTGAGTGCATCTGCAAGCACAGTGAGGCGAAGACTTTTGGAGGATGGCCTGGTGTCAAGAAGGGCAGCGAGGAAGCCACTTCTCCCCAGGAAAAACATCAGGGACAGACTGATATTGTGCAAAAGGTACAGGGATTCGACTGCTGAGGACTGGGGTAAAGCCATTTTCTCTGATGAATTCCCTTTCCGATTGTTTGGGGCATCCGGAAAAAAGCTTGTCCGGAGAAGACAAGGTGAGCGCTACCATCAGTCCTGTGTCATGCCAACAGTAAAGCATCCTGAGATCATTCATGTGTGGGGTTGCTTCTCAGCCAAGGGAGTGGCTCACTCACAATTTTGCCTAAGAACACAGCCATGAATAAAGAATGGTACCAACACATCCTCCGAGAGCAACTTCACCCAACCATCCAAGAACAGTTTGGTGACGAACAATGTCTTTTCCAGCATGATGGAGCACCTTGCCATAAGGCAAAAGTGATAACTAAGTGACCTTAATCCCATTGAGAACTTGTGGTCAATCCTCAAGAGACGGGTGGACAAACAAAAACAAACAAATTCTAACAAACTCCAAGCATTGATTATGCAAGAATGGGCTGCCATCAGTCAGGATGTGGCCCAGAAGTTAATTGACAGCATGCCTGGGCGGATTGCAGAGGTCTTGAAAAAAAAGGGTCAACACTGCAAATATTGACTCTTTTCATAAACTTAATGTAATTGTCAATAAAAGCCTTTGAAACTTATGGAATGCTTGTAATTATACTTCAGTATACCATAGTAACATCTGACAAAAATATCTAAAAACACTGAAGCAGCAAACATTGTGTAGACCCAAACTTGTGTCATTCTCAAAACTTTTGACCACGACTGTAGTAAAAGTAGTGACTGTGGATCATCACACAGCACCCCATTTGAAGTACAGTAGAAGGACAGCATCTGCTGCCCCATTAGTCTCTGAAAGAAGCAGGGTTATAGATTTATGTTAGGCAACCTTCAACACAGACTGACGTCACACCCTGAACATGTATTTACTGCGGACCAGGCCAGACCCATAGCAGGCATCTCTGCTGTTTTGATGTTCATTTCGCCCCATTTGATGCAATCACGCCTTGTTTTCACAATGCCCTAATATTTGGGTCGCTCCATTGCACCTGCTGTTTCCAATGTTCATGTTTGTGTATGTGTGCCTGCGGCACGTGTTAATGTGTGCCTATGAACAGCGATATATGTGAATGTGTGTGCTTGCTTTACAGGTGTCTATCTGCTCTCATATTTTACACTTACATTTACTCTCGCACTACATCAGTGTCTCTTACCAAAATGTAGAATGAATGAGAGGGGGATTAAGTGAGGGAGAATTTCACTTTGCACCTTCAAATACCCCCTTTCCTCAAAGTGGATTTAAAAGCTGCTAAGAGAAGTTATGTGGCGACCAATGTGTTGCTAGAATTAAGGCCAGAGTTGTGCCAGGAAGGGTTTGACTCCAGGCAGTCAGATGCCACCTAGAAAAGGCTGATAGAGAAGGGCTTATGTCCCATTTCTTTCTTCTAACATCAACCAATCAACATGATTCAACAACTGTTCAGTTTTCCAGAGTGCCTGATAAAACAAAAAGGGCTTGTTTCTCAGACCCAGATGAAATGAAACCCTAATGAAATAACTTTTGAATTCAGAAATTGGGTTTGTTAGTGATATTAATTTAATTTGGGTCTTGGAAACCGGCCCATAAAGTGTATGCCTGCCCTGACTGGTGTGATGTTTTGTGGTTGTAGGAGTGAAGGAGGCGGTGGTGATCTGTCTGAACAAGCAGACAAGGGAAGCCTCAGATGAGAGTCTGTGTGTGAACTCACACCGGCCCCCACAGCTCCTCCAGGTCTGTGGCGCCCAGACCTGCCCTCCCAGGTAAGACAAACCTAGCCTGATGTGGCCAAGTTTTGGGGCAACCCAGATAACAAAACATCTATGAACCATTAGAGCGTGGTTGCCCCATGGTTATTTTGCATACAACATTTCCACAGCTTATTGGGAATGTTGCGGGATACTTGTTTGGTTTTGGAACATTCATAGCCCATTTAAAGGTCCTGAACAGTCATTGTGATTCCCATTTAAAATAGCCTTTTGAGTGACCAAAACAAAACAAATAAAATCAATGTTTATTGGTTGCGTATACAGACTGGCAGATGTAATCGCAGGTGCAGTGAAATGCTTGTGTTTTTACCTGCAGTAATAAAACCTAGCAATACAAAACAATACACACATTTAAGAAATATCAGAATGAGCAATGTCAGAGTCTGGAATATATATATATACACACAGGATATATACACAGAGTATAAATACAGTATATACAGTTGAAGTCGAAAGTTTACATACACTTTAGCCAAAGACATTTAAACTCAGTTTTTCACAATTCCTGACATTTAATCCTAGTAAAAATTCCTTGTCTTAGGTCAGTTAGTATCACCACTTTATTTTAAGAATGTGAAATGTCAGAATAATAGTAGAGAGAATTATTTATTTCAGCTTTTATTTCTTTCATCACATTCCCAGTGGGTCAGACGTTTACATACACTCAATTAGTATTTGGTAGCATTGCCTTTAAATTGTTTAACTTGGGTCAAACGTTTCGGGTAGCCTTCCACAAGCTTCCCACAATAAGTTGGGTGAATGTTGGCCCATTCCTCCTGACAGAGCTGGTGTAACTGAGTCAGGTTTGTAGGACTCCTTGCTCGCACACGCTTTTTCAGTTCTGCCCACACATTTTCTATAGGATTGAGGTCAGGGCTTTGTGATGACCACTCCAATTCCTTGACTTTGTTGTCCTTAAGCCATTTTGCCACAACTTTGGAAGTATGCTTGGGGTCACTGTCCATTTGAAAGACCTATTTGCGACCAAGCTTTAACTTCCTGACTGATGTCTTGAGATGTTGCTTCAATATATCCACATAATTTTCCTTCCTCATGATGCCATCTATTTTGTGAAGTGCACCAGTCCCTCCTGCAGCAAAGCACCCCCACAGCATAATGCTGCCACCCCCGTGCTTCACTGTTGGGATGATGTTCTTCGGCTTGCAAGCCACACCCTATTTCCTCCAAACATAACAATGGTCATTATGGATTTCTATTTTTGTTTCATCAGACAAGAGGATGTTTCTCCAAAAAGTACGATCTTTGTCCTCATGTGAAGTTGCAAACCGTAGTCTGGCTTTTTTATGGCGGTTTTGGAGCAGTGGCTTCTTTCTTGCTGAGCTGCCTTTCAGGTTATGTTGATATAGTACTTGTTTTACTGTGGATATAGATACTATTGTGCCTGTTTCCTCCAGCATCTTCACAAGGTCCTTTGCTGTTGTTCTGGGATTGATTTGCAATTGCTCAATATTGTGTTACCGATTGGGTTAGACTGCTGAGCTAAAGCCTAGGCATTGTCTTTAAGTCTCTGTCACACCCTGATCTTTTTCACCTGTCTTTTGTGATTGTCTCCACCCCCCTCCAGGTGTCGCCCATCTTCCCCATTATCCCAAGTGTATTGATACCTGTGCTCGCTGTTTGTCTGTTGCCAGTTTGTTTTGTCTCGTCAAGCCTACCAGCGGTTTTCCACTTGCTCCTGTTATTCTCAGGTTCCTGTTTTCTAGTTTTCCTGGTTTTGTCCATTCTGCCTGCCCTGACCCTGAGCCTGCCAGTCGTTCTGTACCTTGTCACACCACCCTGGATTATTGACTTCTGCCTGCCCTGACCCTAAGACTGCCTGCCGTTCTGTACCTTTTGGACTCTGATCTGGATTACTGACCTCTGCCTGACCTTGACCTGTAGTTTGCCTTCCCCCTGGTTTGTAATAAACTTTTGTTACTTCGACACTGTCTGCATCTGGGTCTTCTCCTGAAACGTAATATTACGAACTGGCCCTGACTGACTCGGACCATCTCCGCAATTTCATCTCCTCCCAAGGAGCCACCATTGGAAGGCACGAGGAGTTGCTTCGTTGTCTCATGGAAGGGTTCCAGACCTTGGCCGAACGTCATGACCGAGCGTTTAACACATTGCTGGAGCAATTCTGCGGGTTGTCTGTTAGGCAGCCTATCACGACGGTAGCCTCCCAGCCCCTCAGTAACCCGGCTGTTAGCAGCGTGGTCTCCCCAGCCACCCCGATTTCCCAAGAACCCCTCTTTCCTGCCCTGGAACGCTTCGCTGGAGAGTCAGGAACCTGTTGGGTATTTCTCTCTCAGTGTTTGCTCATCATCAAGCTGCAGCCCTCCTCCTTCCCCTCGGACCGCTCTGAGATAGCGTTCCTCATCACGCAGTGTGGGAACAACAGTCTGCCGTATGCTTCAGTCTGGAGGAGTTCATGCAGGAGGTAAAGAAGGTTTTCGATGCTCCATTGTCCGGGAGAGAGGCTGCCCGGAAGTTACTCCAGCTTCGGCAAGAATCTCGCAGTGTAGCAGACTATGCAGTGGATTTCCGCACGTTGGCAGCTGAGTCTGCCTGGAACCCGGAAGCGCTGTTCGACACATTCCTGCACGGTGATCGGAGGAAGTAAAGGACGAGCTTGCAGCCCGGGAACTACCGATGGATATCGACTCGCTCATCGCCTTGACCATTCGGATCGATGGACGACTACGGGAACGAAGGAAGGAGAAGAAGCCCGATTACACGCGCCCGCCCAAGGAATCCACCTCGCCTCCGAGGCATCCCAGAAATCTGAGATAACCCGAGGCTACCCGAGTTCCCCCGAGAGTCTCCGAAGTCTGCTGATTCACCTCTTCCTGAGCCGATGCAACTAGGCAGAGCTAGGCTGTTTCCAGCTGAACGACAATACAGGCTTCACACGAAGAGTTGCCTGTATTGCGGGACTACTGGTCATTTGAGTCCACCTGTCCACTAAAAGACCAGGCTCACCGGTAGGAGCGAGTACTCTGGTGGACCATACCGATAACTTTTCCATTCCCCTTACTCACACCCCCTTTCATGCCATCTTGCTGTGGGGGAACCAGTCGAAATCTCTTCAGGTACTCATCGACTCTGGGGCCGATGAGAGCTTTATGGACGCTACCCTGGCGTCCGAGCTGGGCATCCCCACTCAGCACCTCTCCATTCCCATGGACATTAGCGCGCTGGACGGGCGCTCTATAGCCCGGGTCACCCACAATACCACCCCCCATCAACCTACGAGTATCAGGGAACCACAGCGAGACAATACAATTCCTGCTAATTAAGTCTCCTCAGGTCCCGTGGTTTTGGGTTTCTCCTACATTGAGGACTCCCTAGCTGCCGGGGTCATCCATCCTTCTGCCTCCCCTGCCGGTGCAGGGTTCTTCTTTGTGGAGAAGAAGGACAAAACCCTGCGCCCGTGCATCAACTACCGGGGCCTCAACGACATCACGGTGAAGAACCGCTAACTGCTACCACTCATCTCCTCGGCCTTCAAGCAGCTCCAGGGGGCCAACGTATTCTCCAAGCTGGACCTACAGAACATCTACCACCTTGTGTGGATTCGGGTATCATTTGGCCTTACCAATGCTCCAGCTGTGTTACAGGCCCTGGTTAATGATGTTCTTCGCGATATGTTGAACCGTTTCAACTTCGTCTACCTCGACGACATCCTGATCTTCTCCCGCTCAGTCCAAGAACACGTGCTCCACGTCCGACAGGTCCTCCAACGCCTCCTGGAGAACCAGCTTTTTGTGAAAGTGAAGAAATGTGAATTCCATCGCTCCACCATCCCCTTCCTGGGCTATATCATCGCTGCAGGGAGTGTACAGATCGATCCCGGGAAGGTGAGAGTGGTGGTGGATTGGCCCCAGCCTACGTCCAGAGTGCAGCTGCAACGTTTCCTGGTTTTCGCCGACTTTTATCGCCACTTTATCCGGGTTACAGCACCCTGGCTTCCCCACTGTTTGCACTCACCTCTCCCAAGGTTCCGTTCACATGGTCCCAGCTGCTGACCGGGCGTTCCAGGCCCTCAAACACCGTTTCACCACTGCTCCCATCTTGGTTCATCCTGACCCGTCCCGCTAGTTCATGGTGGAGGCTGACACTTCGGATGTTCGGCCCTATACCTCAAGTTACATTCCTGCGCCTTCTTCTCCCATAGCCTCAACACCATGGAGAGGAATAATAATGTGGGGAATCGTGAGCCTCTCGCGGTGAAGATGGCATTGGAGAAGGGGGCATTGGCAGGAGGGGGCGGAATATCTGTTCATTGTGGAATATATCCGCTCTGCCAAGCATCTCAATTCCAGGCAAGCTATGTGGGCCCTGCTTTTAACCAGGTTCAACTTCTCCCTCTCATACCGACCGGGATCCAAGAATGTCAAGCCAAAGCCAGATGCGCTGTCACACCGCTATAGCCCCGAGACTACACTCCCGGAATCCGAGACCATCCTTCCCACCTCGTGCTTGGTGACGGCACTCAGTTGGGGAATAGGGAAGCAGGTCCGGGAGGCGCAGCGTTCCCAGTCGAACCCAGATGCCCAGATGTTTGTTCCTGACGCTGTCTGCTCCTCGATCCTGGAGTGGGCCCACTCCTCCAGGCTTGCCTGCCACTCGGGCTCCCGTCGGACCCTGGCCATTGTGCGACAACGCTTTTGGTGGCCTACCATGGTTCCTGACATCTCTGCGTTCGTTGCCGCCTGCACAATCTGTGCGCAGAACAAGACTCCTCAGCAAGCACTGGCTGGTCTCCTCCAACCTCTGCCTGTTTCTCACCGTCCCTGGTCTCACATATCCCTGGACTTTGTAACGGGTCTTCCCCCATCTGATGGCAACAGCCACCCACTTCATTCCTCTCCTCAAGCTACATCCACCGCCAATGAGACGGCCCAGCTCATGGTGCAGCACGTCTTCCGGATCCATGGCCTCCCAGTGGACATGGTCTTCGACCCGGGGTCCTCAGTTCTCGTCCCGGTTCTG